GTTCGGGAGTCGACTAATGTCCGCTCCGCGAAAAAAACTAGCCACCATTTTTTTGCTGACGTTGCGAGGTCTTTGCAGTTTTGTCGGTAACTGTCCTTCTGAGTAGACCCATACCGATGATTGCTTTTTATTTTCCGGATCATATTGATAGATCCATGCGCCTAGATGCCCCGTTTTCAAAACGTAGACGCATTTCATGGCACAATTCCACACGAGTTTCATTTTCGCTTTCGGAGAGCAAACGAGAGATCCATCAACAACAAAGCTTCCTCACTCTAAGATGTTGATGTAGGATGGTATGAATGTTCCCCGAACTAATACCTAGAATCTTTTCGATGTCCGTATATGTGATTCGTGGGTCTTTCCGCACCAACATTTCAGTAGTCCATACATTTTTGCCGTTACTGCTGTTTGCGGGGCCCCGGTTCTTTGGTCATCTTTAAGATTAATTTTACCCCTTTTGAATTTAGCAAACAACCTAAAAATTGTTGCGTGTGATGGAGCTGAGTCCCCTAATGCTGATTATAACCGTTGTAAATTTAATTGTTCGGTTAAACCAAATTTAAAATCATAATATATCTTAGCGCGCAAATTTTCACGGTTAAGATTCATCGTTTTAAATGAAAAGCGCGGGAAGCGTTGCAGGAAAATTAATAGAACTTTGTTTTTTTTATATTGAGCAATTGGCTTATGGAGTTATATTTTTTAATAAAATTGCTTTTTAGAAATACATAACACAGCTGTGCGTTCCGTTTTTAAATTTCGAGCATCTCAAAAGTTATTGAGTGATCTACGTATTTGCAACAGTAATTTAAATTAATATTAATTATTGAATTTACCTAAATCGATCTTTTTATTTTTTTCCGCTGAAACAGAATTCAGTGAAATTAGTGTCATCCAAAACTTTTATATACAGAGTTCATTTGCAATAACCGGCCAAATTTGCAGAGAAGGCTCAAAATAAGTAATATAGACAACTGGTGGAGAAAAAATATTTAAAAAGAAAGCACAATCATTCTGTCCTTTTTATCTTTTAAATTCAAAATTCGTGGTGATGCATTATTTTAACTGATTTTACTGCGCACGCACACATTCATAAGGGTCGATCGGTAGGGAAAAACGTTGTTGCCCATAAATCACATTCAATTTGGGATAATTTCAAATAAAAGTAGCAGCCTTATTTACTCGTATTTTCAAAACGGTATGTCATTATTTACATATTTTAACTTAAGTTTAAAATTTGGCTACTATTTGAAAAATAACCCTGTAATAACGAAAAGAAAACTTTTTAGTCATTATAATGCTTGCGCGCACAGTTCAGTGTTTTGTCATTCCAGCATAGTTACAGACTGTCAATGTTGGCACTAACATTGTGTGTAAATAGTTATAGAGTTGAAAAAACCTAATATAACAGTACAATCTAACAACAAGTTTATAAGAATATTGCGGTTCTGTAGTGCGTCCACCATCGGCCGACGTTATTCTGCCCTTTCTGGTTGGTGGCGCGATGAGTTTATTTTGACACACACACTTTTCTATAGATTTAACATACAAATTGCTAAATTCTCTTTAGAACTAATAGAACCATCAGCAGCCACAATGACATTAAACTAAAAAAAAAAAGGAAAAACATAATCCTTTTTTACTCTTACGCAAGCGGATAAAAAGTTGCCTTTTTTATAGGAAAAGGGTGACAAACGAGCACACAGTCCATCTGATGGTAAGTGATTGCTGTGGCCCATAGACATCTTCATCTATCTTCGATTACGAATCAAAATGCAGATGCGTTGTCACCCGTGGAGACTAAGTTGGAATGCCTCGTTTCCAGTAAAAGGGCCTCCGGTTCTCTACACTCACCATACGAAACACAACAGCGTTAAGCTGCTGTTTTACGCTGGTATTCTGTGAGAGCGTGTTCCTTCCCCGGTTGAGCTAACCCATACGTGCTACAACTATACAATTAATATAGTTGCAGTATGGCTCTACCACGTATAAATTCGGTCTCAAGGTCTTATTATTTATTACTTCAATATTATAAAAAAGGTAGAATTTTAACTCAACTCACCCCACATAAGGGCATCAAATTCTTTAGCTCCGCATACATATATATTTATTAAAACAACGTAAAGCTAAAAACAGTAACAAAATTAAATAAATCACTAGCACGAATAAGTAATAACATTGTACATAGTTTCATATCTATATAAATAATATATAATAAAAATTATTAAAAATGAAGTATCTATCTGTAATATAGAAATAACTGGCTTCTGTAATAAGATCCCATAAGAGACCGCAGCCAGACGATGTCTGAGCGGGTCACTAGTTTATAATAAAAATAATTATCATAATCTATGGCATTATTAATGCAATAAATGACCATGAAAGCATGATAGCATCAGAAGGTATGCACTTACAATTTTAGTTCGCGAATTAGCCCTTTATCTCTTCATCATCATGATCATCATCAGTACATTACCGCCCATCATATTTAACTTCTGAACGTAGGCTTCCCCCAACGAATACCACAAAGTGCGGTCCTTAGCCACCTGCATCCATCGAGTTCCTGCATCGCTATAGGTCGTCACACGAGATTCTCACATACCTATATTCTCATCGACACCAATTATTAATTACAATTTTAAATTCTAATTTACCACGTATCGGAAAATGATAAAGTTAAACAAAACATTCTATGAAAACCGGCATGTCTGGGAAATATTACAAGGACATATGAAGACCGCCAATAGAGACCGCCATAAGAGATCGCGGCGGTCTCTCATTTAAAAACGCGGCAATTAATCCATGGATGATGTCGCCTCACGACATCATTCATGTAACCGGTCGGATTTTATAATTAGTATATTAATAATTTAAAATATATATTGTAAAACTGGTACAAGCTTTTATCCAAATCATAAAAATGAAGCAAGTAATAACAAACAAGTAAGTTCTAAAACGTACAGATATTTTAAAATTGGAAAAGAGACGTATAAACGCTGTAACTTATTTTTTAAACTTTTTTAACAATTTCGCAACTCTCAACAATACAGTGACAACCCGCTGGGCTACCGAGGCGTCAATATTATTAATATCTAATATAATAAAATGATTACCAAACGCATTGTATTTTAAATTGCCCGTTCAAATCCCGCTGATGAAGTCGACCTACAAACATTTCGTCGATCATAAAATTTTGTATATTTACGACACAGTTCCAATTGATTTTTATAGGCGCGCTGTATATAAAATCGATAACGGCGAAAATATCGACATCTCTAAAATAAACATAAAAGTTATAGAACTTACCACAGACAATAAAATTCAACAGTTACTTGTTATAAGCGAATCTTAAAGGCCGGGACACATCAACCTCTAAAGGGTCTCCGGTTCTTTACACTCACTATACGTAACACAATTGTATAAGAAACAATTTTGCTACAGTCATCAGGCGTTTTGGGAAGAACTTTTTTTTTATAGAATATAAGTAGGTGATAAACAAACACACATTCTACCTCATGGTAAGTGTATGCTGTGTGCCATAGACATCTACATCTATCTTCAGTTAAGAATCAAAATGCAGATGTGTTGTCACTCCTGAGGATTAAGATGGAATGTTTCATTTGCCTTAAAGAGGAACCGTGGTTCTCTAGATTCACGATACGACAACAGCACACCGCTGCATTAAGCTGCTATTTAGCGCCGATATGGTCGTACCGACCCATTCGAATACAGCTGCCATGTGAGCTGTCCGAATGTGAGCGCAAGCATAGACCATCAACAACCTGTTTTTACGTGGTAGAGCCATGCTGCAGCTTTATTAATAGTATAGTTGTAGCACGAATGGGTCGGTTAGACCGGGGAAGAACCACGCTCTCACAGAATACCAGCGTAAAATAGCAGCTTAAAACTGCTGTGTTTCGTATGGTGAGTGTAGAGAACCGTAGACCCTTTTTACTGGAAAAGAGGCATTCCATCTTAGTCCTCAAGGATGACAACGTATCTGCATTTTGATTCTTTATTGAGGATAGATGTGCATGTATATGGGTCACAGCAACCACTTACTATCAGGTGGACGGTGTGCTCGTTTGTCACCCTATCCTATAAAAAAATCTGACTATAAGCGGCTACTGACTTACTTTACAGTAAAACCTCAACCACATTTCGATACGAGCCCGAAACCACATTTGCAGGAGACAATTCTCACACAAAATACCAGCGTGAAATATTTTTATAGTGTTAAGAATGACAGACGAGCATAGGTACGAGATAAATATTTGATGAGGACAATTGACATCTTTTTTTTAGAAGTAAAGGGTGACAATCCAGCATACTGACCTACATCTATCCTTGGTCAATCAAAAAGCAGATGCATTCCGTACTTCTAAGGGGTTATAATGCATCGTGTCCAATAAGTCTTCGGTCCTACACAATCATACGAAACACAGCAGTATCATGATGCTTCTTCACGCTAGTATTCTGTGAGAGCGTGGTCCTTTCTCGGTCAGGCCGACCCATTCGTGCGACCATATAGCTGCAGCATGACTCTACTACGTACGGTGTATCCTGTAAAACAATCAAAGGCTGACTACTTTGCGCCTGTGCTCGAGACTGGTAAAGTGATAAGAACTTAACTATAATAGTGTAACCAATAAGCCTTTTAGCAACTCTTTCCATTGAGTCCAAAACCGCTACGTGGCATTTTGCCATAATTAGCAGTAATATACACGATGCACGACCTGATTTGCGCTTTATATAGTGTAGGCAACTATCCCAGCGGGAAGTACCTATTACCGGTTCTTTACAAGGACACCCAGCTTCCTTACAACTGCTTTGGCCGTGGACTCAATGAACCGCCCAAAGTTCATATCAAGGAAACCTTCAAGGGTAACCCCAGCTACTGTAGGCGGTCGGTGCATTCCAGTGATACATTTCGAAAAGAAGCAGGCCTATGAGGTCGTTTGTTACTGTTTATTTTATAAAAAATACTTTGTCCTTAGGTCGATCATCATCATCACCACGAACACCACGAGCACCACGAAGGTGAACACGATCATCACCACCATCACGAACCTGGCATGCCCTTCGACTTCGCGTACGCTGTGAACGAAGACGGTAACGACTACAGTCACAACGCGATATCAGATGGTGACATTACAAGAGGAGAATACAGAGTCGCCCTTCCTGACGGGCGTGTACAGATTGTAAAATACACTGCCGACTGGAAAAATGGTTTCAACGCCGATGTAAGTAAAACAAAAGGGTCATTCATACATCCATTCATTTATTACAGCCTAAAACGCCTTTTTCACGGTCCATCTGGCTGTACGTCTCGCCAAGGTCATGCACGACGCACAATGCAAAACGACAATGAGTAGGCCTGATGTACGTCATTGTCTATTCGTTGATTTATAATTATTATTACGTGAATAAGGCGCTTTACAAAGTCTATTGCTGAACACATCACAACATATAACATAGTCCATACAACACACACATACCTCCCCCATAGATTTCGCCTGGATATTTGCCCTAGCTTTTTATGTATGCCGAGATTTTCATTTCTCTCTGTCACCTCTAACTACACCCGCGGGATAACATAGGGTAGTGGATTCCCTTACGCCCTCGCTACATGGCGACACAAGTATTCTTCACAATCAATAATACACAATCAATGAGTAATAATTTATTTTGTGCTAGCTAGTATAAGTAGCGGCACGAAAGTCTAGCGGTGATCGTTATTGCGTATATATATATATATATATATATAGCGATCCTAGCGATCCGCCCCGGCTTCGCACGGATGATTTCTGAATCTCGATAACAGCGCTATACACACACAAAATTTCCAGCTGCACATGGTCAGAATTCTTTTTAACAAAATAGGAATCATTGCAATCAATCAACGTGGTAAAGAATTATTGTTAAACATCTACACTTATAATAATTTATATTATAATATGACATTATCACAAAAACATAAACATTTTTATACTTTCTGATTATGCATATCAATAACAAGTCGAATGGGTCGGCTCGACCGGGGAAGGACCACGCTCTCACAGATTACCAGCGTAAAATAGCAGCTTAACGCTGCTGTGTTTCGTATGGTGAGTGTAGAGAACCGGAGACCCTTTTTACTGAAAACGAGGCACTCCATCTTAGTCCTCACGGGTGACAACGCATCTGCATTTTGATTCGTACCTAATCGAAGATAGATGTAGGTATCTATGGCCCACAGCACCCACTTTCCATCAACTAGACTGTGTGCTCGTTTGTCACCCTTATGCTATAAAAAAAAGCTTCCTTATATATTACTATACTCTTTGAAAAAAAGTACACACATACCATTCACAGATTGAGTCGTGCAACTTAATTTTGGTTTAATTTGGAGTAGAAATAACATCCAATCAATACAATACAATGAGAAATTATTCGAGTAAATTAAACCTAAATAAGATAAAAATGTATTGGAAAAAAACAGGTTCAATTTTTGGGAAAGAACATTATAGAAGATCCCTTTAAAAGTATGCACATTTTTAATTAAAATATAAAATAGACTATTCAAAATATAATTTTTATCGGGAACTCAACGATAAATGATTAGTAAGTTTAATTTTGAAAGCAATATAAAATTCGTGAAATATGTCTATGCTAGGTCTTATACCTAGTATGGTTTTAGACATTTCGTTATATTTGGCACATATTTACGCACGATAGGAGCATTATTCCCGAGATGAGTTTTTGCGAAAGGAACATACATAAAAAAAACACTTATTTTTGCAGTTAGCTGGAAATGTTTACATTTACAAATGACCTATTTAAAAAAATAAAATAATCCTTTATGTTTTCAGGTATCGTATGAGGGCGAAGCACGGTATCCCGAACCTAGCATCAACTCTATAGGGTCTCCTAGCCAAGGTGGTCAAGCATATGTACCACCCAGCCAAGGAGGTGGTTACAAATACTAAATTAAGATAAGAGATTATTAAAAAAAACTGTGCGTGTAATTGTGTACACACGTACGAAGTGAAACTTCTGTACAACATATCATTCTTCTTTTACTTTATATTTTACTTATCTAGGTTAAATAACAATATACTCACACAGTTGAGACGTTTTTGATTCTTAATACCGTAATAAATTTCTCCATTACATCGATAAAGAAGTTTCACTTCAATTAAGTGATTGTAAAATGTGAATGAAAAAGAATGAACATGTATGAAACATTGTAAATGTCATTGCTTCAAAATAGAAAAAAAATCGAATTTAAACACAATGGCAAAGATTACTTAAGTATGTACTAAAAGTTACCGTAAAGTTACTAATTGTAATATAAATTTTGAAAGAACATTAGAATATTTCTTGTGTGTTGTAGAAGTGTGTGTTATTTTAAAACATTTTATTCTGTAATTCTTGTATGCACCTGTGTTATTAAATTAATAATTATCTTGGAACAGTTAGTAGACTGTATGTAATTTAAATATGTTAGAGATGTGGCTCGAACTGTTATACTATATATGTAAACAAATGTTAACATACATAATATTTAAAACCCTTTTTTATATATGTACTCAATTTTTATTAAAACAGAGGACAAAAATAATAAAACATGAATGATATTTATTTTGATAATGTTCATCCTATAAAATTAAACCCTATATATTTATCAATTATTATTCGTTAGTACCGTCCTGAAATTAATTTTGATTGTAAATAAAAATACTCATGTTTACTGCAATTAAATATTTATTTACTAGTGTAAATTGGTACAACTTTAATTGCTGCTATAATACAATGTCCTTTTGTACCTTATTTTGTAATAAAATTATACTACTTTACAATACTGTTTCATTTTTACACTGAATATATTAACATTCCATAAAAGTGGTATTATTAGGCTGCAAATTAATACAGGAGTTCTTTTTTTCTCAATATGGCCCTTGGTATTGTGGTTATGTCACAATAATTCTACCAATGTCCGGTCTTTGGTCTGTCACATCTTGTCTTGAGGCTTCTCAGTGGAAAAGGAGTTGGGAGTCACAGAAGAGTTCCACAAGAAGATCAAAGATTATGTCAAACAACCCACTTGTCAGACTCTCTCTTTCTCTATCTCTTTCTTTCTTCCCCTTTTGCACTTACTCCCAGTCCCGTTCACTCTTTCTCATGCTTTGTGCTCCCTCACTCAAACAAGCATCAGTGTAGATTCCACGACATGAGCAAGCTACTGAGGTTTTATGTGTAATATTCAATTTACTTAATTAATGCATAGTGATCAGTGATCAGTTACTCCTTATTTTAGTGACCACTAAATATTTAATTTTTTTTTAAATGAAATAGAGTGACAATCTAGCACACAGCCCACCTGATGATAAGTAGTTGACATCTACATCTATACTCGTTTGCAAATCAAAATGCAGATGTGTTGTCAGCCGTGAGGACTAAGATGGAATGCCGTGTTTCCAGTAAAAAGGGTATCTAGTTCTCTACACTCATCATATGAACACAGCAGCATTAAGCTGCTATTTTACGCTGGTATTGTGTGAGAGAGTCGGTTCTTCCCCGGTCGAGCCGATCCATTCATGCTACATAATATAGCTGTAGCTTGGCTCTAACACATAAAAAAGAACTACATCTGTACAGCTACAGATATAATAGACCACTATTTGATATTACTGATCCTAAGCATTTGTTTAACCAATGCCAATACTATAAATTGTAAAATTAAATATGATTAGTGGCCACAGGTAACATTGGATGATCAAATCTATAATTTGGAATATTTACTTCAAAATTATCAATAGCTGGTTGTGTATTTCTAGTGTGAGTTTTCTTTACATGCCTATTTAATTCTTTTTTCAAACTGAATTTCTTGTCACAGAATATACAAAATACTGTTTTATCCATATGGGTCCTTTTTATATGGTCTGATCTTCGCCCCGAAGTAACAAATTTCTTACTGCAAATATCACATTCATATGGCTTTGAATTAGAATGGAGCCTTTGGTGTTCCATCAATGTTTTTTGATTAACAAAGCTGTCTCCACAGATTTCACAAATCTTATTAATAATCTGCAAGTGTGTGGTTAAATGTTCTGTCAAATTACTTTTTTTATAAAAACCTTTAAAACATGTTTGACAGACATAAGGTCTTATACACAAATGTACTTTGTTTATATGAGCTTCAAGTGTTTTTTTATTAAGAGTTCGATATGTACAGTCATTACAATTATAATATAAATTAATCCGTTTTCTCTTCACTCCTAATTTATGGCTCTTTATGTGGACATTATAATGTGAATGAGATTTTAATGTTTTAAAACAGTATGGACACTTCTTTTCTATATGGCACTTAAGGTGTGCTTTTAATGATCTTGATGTTTTGAAATTTTGACCACATGTATCACAAATCATGGCATCATTGGCATTTTTATGAATGATTTTGTGTTCTTTGAGTGCTTCTCGTGAATTAAATTTCATATCACACTTCTTACAATGAAAACTGATATTTTCAGGTGTATTGACAATTGTTGTTGATTCTTTTTCTTCTAAAATTTTCTTTTGTTCAGGTTTATCTATCTTTATGAAGAATTTATCCATATTTTTAGGATTCATAAGTTGAAGTTGATTTTCAAAACAGCTTACAATAAAATTCAGAAGTGTTTTATTATTTTCATATTTGTGTAATTTTATGTACATTTTTAGAATAAGATCTGTGCAATCTTTACATGCCTGGCCAAATAGGATTTCCTAAAATAATAATACAAATAAAATTTCGCATAAAAAAATAATATTAAATACAACATTCTATCATGCTAAGTAAACTTACGTGTGATGGAAAAAGCTTTTTCATCATATCAGCCAAGGTTAAATTAAAATTAAAAAATTCTCCCCTCACTTCTAATTCAGTGTAAATGCTCAATGGGTTGTTTTGATTTTTTAAACAAAGAAAACATATAGTTTTACATTTGGTCAATTCGATAGTTAAATTTATTAAATTCATCATGTTAAGCATTGTACTGTAATTTAGAATATACAATGTAAGTGGATTTACAAAATCTAAAATAGAAACTTTAGGAAATTATTTGTAGGGATATTCGATATACATCGATGCATCGAATTCACTCGATGTTTACGATACGATGCATCGAATCGATCCGATGTTTTGGAAAGCTATTGATATACTCGATGTATCGATGTATTTTCATAAAACATCGAATCAATGATAACCAGTCAATTGTAAACAGGTATACTTATCTATCACTATTAATATTATAACTTCTAAATCAGAAAAACTAAAACATGCTCTGATTTAGAAGTTTAATATCTAAACCTGTTGGTGGTGTTAGTTGGCGGCTGTCAGTCCCTTAGCGGAATCAAGAAATTGAGATTGGCTGGTTGTGTATTAAAGAAAATCTAAAGAAAATCGTCTGGTCTGTCTCGGTCTTAAGTCGGCTTCTCACTCTCGTGCCGCAGGGCAATCTAGGACGAACAGCGATCGGGGCAATATCAGAACTGTCTCTACACACATGCCTGTCATTCTATGTGAGAGTGTACGTCTCTCTGGACACACGCGTTGAGAATGGCGCTAGTTTTATCAAAATATAAATGAATCGGTAAATATAGCCTTGGCTCTTTTTTTTTAATTATATAGAATAAGGGTGACAAATGAGCACAGTCCACCTGACGTTAAGTGGATACTGTGGCCCATAGACACCCATATTTATTGATAAAACAACTAATTAATTAATAATTACACCAATAACACAGTCTTTAAAAGCTGCAGTATGACTCTACCACGTTTAAAAACGTTACGACGTTCAGATAACGTTCTTTCTGCGGTGCTACCGTAAAAAAAAAGACAAAAAGGAGATACTGGGTGAAGAAGCCGCCTCTTTATACACTTCTATCACCAGTGACCAAATTTCATATGTTTTATTGGTATCCATTATGACGTGTGCTGCATGCGAAAGTCGCTTACGAACTGTTTGAAATTGCCCCATTTGCGTTACACATGTGGCGTGGTAGCTATGATCTAGGGAACAAGGAAGGTCTTGCGGCCATGTCGCTCTGCCGCAGGGCCAACTTAGAAAATTGCCCCTGTTTGCATACACACATCACAATTAAGGAGGCAATTAAGGGTCATCGCCACTCCTACACCCTAGATTGCCCCTGCGGCAGGCAAGTGATAGCCACCTTAAGACCATTTAACCTCAAACTCATCTCGCATAATTATTCCCCTCTGCCAAGGTATTGGATTTAAAAGCTTGTGCGTTTATAAAAACAGCTTACGAAATCGATTTTATTATTACAAGAATCATTTCCGCCGAAGTAGGTGCTCTTTAAAAAATACCGATCGGTGCGATCATAAAGCAGTCAAAATAATTAATTTAGAGTACTTAAAATTTACGAGTACAAAAGATGGAGTTATATTCCATATGTTAGTATTTTTATTGTGATGCATGGTTTTTTTCTATTTATTAAAATCATTTAAAATAATATCGTAAACATTGACCTACTACTAAATGGACCTCGGATCTGCACTCAAGTGTCCGAGTCAAAAGAGTTCCAAAATGCAAAAAGAGTTGCAATTGCGCGCCAGTCTTCGTTTTGTCGATTGATAATACACTCCAAAATTACTGTTTCACAAAACGAGCAAAACTATTTATATATATATAAATAGTTTTGCTCGTTTATTTCTATATATATATTTTCGATAAGGACTATTTAAATTAAATTCACATTAATTGTAAAAACAAAAAATCAAACCGATAATTTTCGCTAGAAGCTGTATAAGATGAAAACAGCTTCTGGTTGTAGTTGGAAGGCTGCTAAATTGTCGCAAGCTCGCAAGTAAGATTATATATATATGTGTGTGTGTAAATAATACGTTTTTATAGGTTGATTCGGGACACATTTTTCGTGAATTTTGTTCTAGAGCCGCCGTCTACTTAGTAGTAGGTACAATGAC